ACGCTGGCATTTCAAAGGATTTTTGTGCGTATGAAAATTATTTCATTAATTTTCATACGCTTCTCATACGTTTCTCTCATACGCAATAGTGTGACAGGGCCTTAATTAAATAAAGTTAGCTAGTTACAACCGGTCGGAGTAATCCAATAGCCCTAATATTTTTCTTAATTTAGTCACCATTCTTTAGTCACCTACCGTGGTCTATAATACCAAGAAGAATCGTTCCAAGGAGCGCCAGAAATACGGGCTTCATTTCGAAAACTGTATATCTGCTTGCGAGAATGGGGAAAGATACGGTTAGTTTCGTTTGAAGGGGAATGGAATGGTATTTTGTTACGAGAATGAGCCATTTCAATTTGCGTCATGGGGTCAAGCAAATTATAAGAGAGTTTGAGCAAGACAACGAAGTACGAAGACGAAAGCATACTTGACTATATTTACCGTCGGTACATTATCTTGCGCATACTGAGTTGGACATCACTGGTGGTTGCACAACGTGTCTTCCCATGTGCCGCTGTTTTTAATACCGACCATAATTCTTGCCCTGATCCAGAAAAAAACCAGCGAGACATGAAACTATATCCCGTCTTTGTCCTTCTGCCTTCGTGCAGAACGAAGTTCACAACGAATTTTGCCAAAATATTCGTTGTGAACGAAGGCAGAAGAACGAAGACGGGATATAGATTCATGTCTCGCTGTTTTATCCTGATCAGGGTATGGATTTGGGTCAGCATTCACAAACAGCTAGACATGAATCTCTAATCTGTCTTCACTCCTGACCCTAAACTCAGAATGCGCAAGCTAATGTGCAAGACAGGCAAAAATTGTCAACCACGTCGTCGTCGCCCGACTTCGTTCTCTTGCTCAAACTCTCTATTCCTCGTGAAACATTTTACATTTCAAGGAGTTCTCAATCAACTCGGTAGGTGTTACTATGTCACCAAAAACGGTGAAACTCAACTCGTTGAAAGTTACATTGCAGTTATTCTATTCATTTATGCGCAGTTTTGAAGGTAGAGTACGTAGGCGCAACCTGTAGTTCAAGCCCTAATTTTAACGTAGGCGCCCCTCGCTTACTCTTTTTCGATCTTTTGTTCCCTGTTTCGGCGCGGGGCCTAACCAAACATAATGCGCAGTAGGTTTAAACTATCAGGTTATTACTTGTCATATGATATTGTTGCTGATACACATTGTGTCACTTAATTTTGGTTCGAATTATTGATGTATAGTATATTTCAATGTTTTTGTAAATAAATTGGGGGGTGTGGGGGGGGGGGGATCAAGGGGCCCCGCGCCGATAATACGTCAATGGCCACGCGAAGCGTTAATCCGGCTCTGGAATAGCAAACGATTTGATAGGTTGGCGTAATTTACCAAACTGATGGTTCCTATTGTTAGCAGCTCAGAGATGTACCATGCATCACGAGATAAATTATTTCCGCGTCACAAATTTAACCCAAAAACACTGACTTCATTTTTACATGCACCTATAAACTTTCAAAGACATGATTGCATTTCAGTTCAAAGCCCTCCAAGTATAGTCTATATATAGCTACCATCCCACCGGGCACACGACGTTGTTTCAACGTTGATATTTGGTAGAAAAATGGTTGCGACGTCGACAACCTAATATCTACGTTGCTCTGACGTTGTTTTACAAACATTGGTTCAACAGCAGCCAACAGACGTTGAATTAACGTTCATTCATGGTTAAATGTACGACGTCGATTTGTGAACCAATCTCAACGTTGTTTTAACGTGGATTCAACGTTGAATTATGGTTGACAAGATTGGCAACCCAATTTCAACGTTGTTTCAACGTCGAAACAGTAACGTCGATCCAATTTGCATAGTCAACCCTTTTTCAACGTCTATCCAACGTCTGGAAGTTCATTTCCAACGTTGATTCAACGTTGGATAAACGTCATTTTGCCCGCTGGGCATAAAGCTTCGATTGAAAACTGCTTTCGAGTATACTGCAGTTTGTACTGCAGTTCAACGCTCATAATTCATAAACATGCATTAATTCAAGCAGAAAGTAATGAACTGAAAAGGAAATTATCCTAGACAGGCCAATAAAGCAGTTAGGCCAATAAAGCAGTTACTATAAAGGGTGTATAAAAAAAAACTGAACAGATATGAATTTGCTCTCAATTTTGCAAAACAGCCATTAGTATCCAAGTTTTTAATACATATATAGCTTCTTTGGGTATTTATAATGTAGAATAATGAAAAAAATTCTCGAACTCAAATTTTGTGAACCAAAGGGGGGGGGGGGGGTTTTTTC